GTCTTCGTGTCTCACAGGATTTGGGTCGGTGCAACGCTCCAGGTTTCGCGACAAGCGGCCATGATGCATTGATGGGCGCTTCTGTCCCCATCGGCCAGCTTCGAATATCCTTCAGTCACGCTTAAAATTGGCGCAGCGTGACGAAGATTGATTTCGGACAGAGCTCGGACGACGTACTTCGGATCAAATTTGGCAATCTTTGGATGCCTGACCACGCAATCCCAGTCTCGAACTCTCGTTCTTCAACAACGACTAATACCCAAGTAGTGAAGTAATCTGCGTCATCGGCTGCACACCGCCCGTCACCAAAAAATTGTTTTGTAAGGGCTTTTGGCTTTGGCTGTCTAGGATTACGCAAAGCTCCCGTTGCGTTATTCTTGCAGTCGCATGTTTATCCGATCAGCATCATGAGAGGCAATGATTGCCATAGTGTTCTCTTGATGGGCCACTGCCCAACAGGGGGTCTCTTACGATCTTGGATGCCTCTTCACCAGCAGAAATTTTTCCAACATTCATACTACTTGCTCGCTTACCAGCTACAAATAAGCTTTCTCTGCAGAAACGTGTTCGAAGTTGAGGGATTGGGTTTTTACTGTGGTCTCCAGTAGCATTCTTTAGCAATGTCGACGCTAACACCTCTGCGCTTCTTCGTGCGAGCGTTAATTGCACGTTGTTGTTATACGGTCGGCAGCCAGCTCTTGCACGCTTTCTAGTGGCATCAGACCTTGCACTTGTCTGCATCAAATAAAGATTTCTCACTCTTTGTTTGTTGAGCAAGGCGCGGGCTTAGTTGAACTCCGCCGACTTCTACATCTTTCTGCCTTGTTGATTTCCGTTTCCTGATGGCCACGGTCGATTCATTACTCATGTTGCGATGACCAGATTCGTGGCAGATTAGCAAGCGGTCTTCGGCAGTGCATGCAGTACGTTGTGTTTCTTTGCGTTGGTTCTATACCACAAAAAGACATATCCGTCTCCTTCGTTGTGTCAGACGTAGTACGACTTCCCGGAAAAGACTCTTCAGTTCAGCTTGACGTAAGACCGCTAGTCTAGATCTTAAGGATCTTTCCATGCTGCACGCTGGAGTTCCATCAATGCAAGGGAGCCGTGGGGCAATGAAGACGCCAGCAAGACTGCGGGCTCCGGCCCACTGTAGTAATGATTGCCCTAACCCGCTTAATTTTAAGGCCATGCTGTTTGCCGGCCCTTCCCATCGGAGTCACGCGCTTTTGGCAAAAACCGGGGACAAAGCGGCAGGCTGCTGGCTCTAGGCTGATTCCAGTACTTGAAACAAGAGAAGATCTTGAGCCCATTGAATGTGTTACAGAAATGCAGAAATGCAGGCCCGCGCTTTGATGTAACATCCCTTGCTGCATTCTAACGCGTGCCCAGCGCGAAGATGCAAAGGGGGCTCGTTTTTCCAATCACATGGTCACTGGGACAAGTGACACTCCTCATGGGCCAATCTCCCTTACGGTGGCCAGAACGGCTCCTCTCGATAGCATGTCGAAGCCAGCACATTTTATGTTTAACCACATGTTCTAAGCAGCCTCAGGCTGATATTTCCGGTGTTCGTTCAACACGATACTTGGGCAGCGCGTTAGTCTCTCAGATAATTCAAATGTCGAAGCGCCTCGCTTGACTTGTTCTTTCTTAGCTCTTGCAGTGGGATATCGCAATCGGTTAGTACTGAGGCTATGGTGATGGGTTCAGTGATACTGGCGGTGAACCAAGGACGGATGAATGGGTCCGACCCGGACGCCTCTCTTTTCTGTAAGTTGACGGCATGTTTGGATTGGTACCCAGCACAGTCCGCCGGGGCGACTCAGTCTGAAAACGTCGTTTCTTTCGGAAAGCTCTGCAGAGTAAGTTTTCAGTTAATATGTAGAGGCTCTAATGATGTGTAAAGCTTGGGATTCGGCTTACGGATAGTCTTGTTGGGGGCAAGAAGCCCCATTACTGAGAACAATGTGAGAAAGCAACCATCATTCGTCGTTGCTGCCAGTGGGTCTTCGGTCCGAGCCTACTCCATGGATGTTAAAGCTCTGAATTTAACTGCCTCCCTTCTCTTATTGCTCGCCCCAAATCGCTGCATACATATCAGTTTATGCGGTCAATGTAAAGCTCTGAGCAACGTATAAAAGCTAGCGCACGGAACGGTTGCAACCTAGTTGGCAATTGACTACGTACTATCCGGCAGTCCATTAATTATGGAAAAATCCTGCCGTACAGATGTTCCATAACTTCGATGAGGCCCGCTTATGATCGCGATCAGAGGTTTTCAGAGGTCGCTTGTTGCGACTTTGATTAAAGTCCTTACGTAGCAAGCGGCCGTGACGAGAAAGTCACTGGGGTCTTCAACACTTACATTGATCGCCAGTGGACGGTCCAGCCATGATTTGAAGCGGCTTGTTGAAGCAAAACCCGACTTTTACATTGAACATATGTCAACGTAGTATTAGTAATCTCAAGCGGTCGTTGTTCGTCCACATACGCTTCGCCGTGGGCGCTGAGCGATTTCGCGGCCAAGTGCGTCGAGAGGTTTTGCGCCGCACGCCAGCGCACGGGCCAATCTGCCGCTGCGCACAATAAGCCGCGGTAAGGCCTCGCGCGCTCAACTCGCCCGCACAGTATAACGATCAACCTATCTGGTAGCGCGCAGCCGCGCGCGGCGCTCTGATGGGAAATCCAGACACCCTAACCGACCAGGCAGCCGCTGATCAAAGGAGCACCGGCGGGCGCTTTGAAACCAACTGGCGGCCGCCACGTGAAGCCCCTGAATACAATAGCCGGGCGCAGCGGACCCTCTAGAATCGTTGATGTCGCAGCGTTCAGCGAGATTGCGCGTCGCTCGGCCCAGCGCCGCCGACAAAGGTTTCGAATGCAGATTGTTTCAAATGACAGCGCAGTTGCAATAATACTTGGATTGGCAGACTCAGCACTGATATTCCGAAAGGGCCTCCGAATGGACTTCAAGTGTAGGTTTGCAGTACTCAGGCGGGCAGTGCATATGGTCTTTTTGGCCTACTAAGCAAGCGGCTAGACCATAAGTCCGTTTTACCCTCATTATAAGTGCGTCGAACGGAGATGAGGTCGGGTGATATCTGAGCTCCAACATAGTGCATCTCTTATTCAACATGCGTCTGCATCTCTCGCAAAATCAGAATTCTCCGTAATTGAGCTCGGAAGCTGCTGGCGCAGAGTCATATTGAAGTGTACGACTAATAAGGTTTGCGGATCGGAACCAAGCGCCAACCCCGTGCTGTAAAAGGGAGTGTGTAAACACCGGCGTTAAAACCAGCTTGGTGTGTCGATCAGCCAGTCAATCAGTGCAGCCGACACGGACATGTGGCCATCTCTGTCACAAACTTCCAATGAACTGATTCTCGACGCGTTGTGATGGGACAGCGCGCTCGGCTGCGGACTCCTTCCTATTCATACAAACCATATTCCGCATGTTAGACATTGTAATTTTATTGCACCCGGCCGCTCCTTGCCCTTAAAACGACCCCAGAATCTACTGTAGATTATCTGCCTTAATGAATGCCGTGTGTAACACGCGGCTGCAGTCGGACCGTACCCCCCCATGATCGTGCGGCATATAAGATCACCGCCGCGGGCCCGGGCGCCGGCCGCGCCCTGGGCCGTCGCGCGAACCGGCCGCGTTGAGGAACTTTATTCCGTCGCGGGCGGGAACTCAGGTTGCCGCGGCCGGCCATACGTAAACCTGGCGAGTTTCGGTCAATGATCGGACGGTCGATTCACAAAGCATCGACTGCATCGGACGGCTCTGTGTCGAGCAGACTTAAATCGAGGCTGCCAGGGCAGGCCGCGCTCGCTCTAGTTCGCAGATATTACAATAATACACTCCGGACCACAACTTTCCGATCTTTAGATGTTGTTCGGGTGGACAGCCAGCGCATCGTATCTGTTCCGTTGGCTGAGCATCTGACGGCCTTGCATGTAGCCGAAGATCTACCTTCACGTGAAGAGCAATGATTAGGTTGTACAGAGGCGTTTCAGGCGGAGTACGGATAAACTGAAACCTTTCAAGTTGGGCGCATTGTTTGTTGGAGGTTTGAGCGTCAAAGTATTCGATAGTCGCAGGAATTTACCAGGGGGAAAGAATATGCCGTAAAACTCGAACTCTAAAAGAAAAATCAAGGGCGAGGTGGTGGGCTATGAGCCCTCACCCGAGTACATGTCAACGTTGGATATACGGGTACGCCGGTACGGGACTGAATTGTGCCCGGAATATTGTCACCGGCCTCATACCTGAGCTTAAATCAACGGTATGTACAAAACGCGGCCAGTAATTTGGCCCAAACTCGCATCACTCCCAAAAGGATTTCTGACAATGACCAGCGACGTATGGAATTTCAACCTGGCCCAGAGGAAACCGAACCCGACTGCGCCTGGGCAGTGGGCACCGGGCAGTAGAGGTATCAGTCGAGACATTGCCGTTTGCTATTGGGGGGTAACGTACTCTACATTTTCCAGCCCCTGGTTGACCTGTAAGACCATTCCCACTGAAGCACCATAATCATTTTCAGGTCATTCACACATGTCGGAAGACTGTCCATTCGCCGCTCGTGTGAGTGACGCAATATAACGTAAGTGGATAACTCTCAAGTGCGAGCCTGAATTCGCGGTAATGCCAGCACAGACGGTGCGTACTCGGCTGCTGATGTGGACCCTCTACAGGCTGCGAGTCTGGTTTCTGTGATCGTGACATTTATCAATCTTTTGTCGAAGCATGTAGTTAGTTTTCACTTGCAATAGTTTTCCACGCACTGTGACGATAAAAGGTTTATCCGCACCTGGGCGGAACGTTGAATCAGAGGATGTCTGCCCACGTGGTTTCATGATTGTCTTCTGGCGTACGGCGCCAGACCTGCGCACCCCATTGGCTGCTTCTGATCATGCTGGCCCAAATGCTAGCGCGCCACCTGTGCAAGGACATGTCAGACTCAGGGAGCTTTGACTGTGCAGAGGGCCGTGTGCGGTCTCTGCGGCCTCTTCCAAAGTTTCCTTCTGATCCTTGGAAGGCGAAGAAATTTTCTTCAAGAATCGAAGTTCGAAGCCTTGGAAAAGAAGTCATCCAGGCAAGATTTTGAACCACGCGTGTGCACTGTGAAGAACACCTTCCAGGCTGCTTCCAAGCCTGAAATCCTAGACTGAGATTCCAGTGACGAGACGATACTTGCCCTCGTCCCCAAGGTGGCCAGCTGATTTGCTGGCGATCTCTCAAAGCAGCGACGTTGCCTCTGTTGAGGATCATCACCAGCTATCTGCAGTTGCTGATCTGTGCTTGATCCCGCTGTGCAACTCTTGCTGAGGGCAATGGAGGTGCAGATCATGCCTGCCCTCAACATTGGTGGCCCTTGGCAGACCTCAGCAGATATGATCCATCCTTGGAGCTCTCTTGCAAGCTCAGCTGTCGGGGCAGCGGTAGAATGGCAGCAGGATAAGGGGGACAAGAGTCCCACCTGGAGCTTGGATGTGGGAGCAGTGTGGAATGCTGACTCACCCACCAGCAAGAACCATTCCCAGCCAAAGGTGAGCTTTCAGGCTATAATCGTTTTTCTTTAAGTTTGCCACAGCATTGTTGGGATTGACAGGGAATCCATGAAAGTTGATGATCTGCAATTGGACAAAGTCTGGTCAAAGTGCCTGCTGCGTGATGATCTTCTTATGAGCAGCATACCACTTTCTGCAGAACCTGGAGTCTGGGGACTATGGATAGACTTCGTATAGAGGGGCAGGGTTCATTGAGCAGGCAGGATTCTCTGTGCGGTGCGTTTTCTATCATGAGTTGTGTAACTTCACAAGGGGGCAAGGAAGCACCATTGGGTTGAAGGTAGGCTGATTTGATATCAAGCCGTATTCGACGCACATCACAGTCAGGGGTTCGCTTATAGGCAGTAGGGTACAGATTTGATTAATGTTTGTGTAGCTACTGCTTCTCTGGTCAGTCTGAGACATTTAGTTGGAAAGTCTTGGAGATCAATATGCATCACAGTGGCATCAGGGTTCAGAAGCCACCAGGGTCTGATCGGCTGCTGTTGATCAGCTATGCCCTTTCTCCTTGATCTGCCCCTTTTTCAGTTTTTGAGAAGCTGAGACGCTTCTCATCGTACCTGATCATTGTTACAGAGCCCCTGGCCAATGCGATGGATGTCATCAATAACCCTGTTGCAGAACTACCTTGTTTTGGCACCAAGTATGCAATGCTGGAAAGACCTTTTAGATGGGTGATCCTCCACCTAGGATGAAGGGTCAAATAGTTAGTTCTGGATCAGAGGAGCTACTCTTTGGTAATGACATGTGTTCTGGCTGTTCGTGGGTTGATAGAGATTCTTCTAACCAGGAGGTGGCCTGACTGATCAAGCTAAGTGGGTGCTTCTTTGACTACTAGCATGGATGGTAGCTTATCTGAGAAGGCATGAGGTGTCAGATTGTCTTTGTCAATAATCTGCTTCTAAAGCACGACGTGCTCACCGTGGGGATGGGAGCATGGAATGAAGGGGCAGATCAATTCCATACATGGGGCTCTGAATTCAGAGGGGAATATCAGCTGAGAGTTTTGTCATGCCAGTGTTTTCTGGTTTCGGATATGGTTTCCCAGCCTAGATTCACAGACTCTGCAATGGCTTTTGTTTTAGAATACACTTTTTGGTTTGGTTTGGAGAGCCGTCTTGATGCCTTTTGTCTACAACCAAAGATGGTGCCCTGGTTGCCATTTTGTTGATCATGGCAGTTCAGTTTGTTCCAATCCATCAGCTCAGTTTAGATCCCCTGTTCAGTTTGAAGCCTTTTCATACTTATGTTCCTCCAGGTACTGATCATTTGGTATTGATGGATATTCATTTGAGTCCAGCATTGTCTGTAGCGTCCAGAAGACTAGTCTGTTGAGTTCAAACTCCTGGCCCCACCTTTGCGACGTGTTTTCTTCCTGTATCAATGACGTTGATGCCCAGTGAAAGAGGTTCAGAACCTCTTTCAAGCCCGAGATTCTCCTTTCAAGTCTGATCATTCCCTTTGTTCCTTCACCATTCACAAACAGGTATCAGATTCATATGCCATAGAAGATCCATGATCTTGTCAGATCACCTTCCTCACAGGATGCCAAACTCTTACCATATAGGCCCTCTCTCCCAGGAGCTTATCCTGACAGTCTCTCTTGCCCCCCTTTGCAGCCCATTGAGCGTTCTTCTTCTTCCATGCGCCCCCTCTCCTCCCACAACCGCCGGAAACCGCTCTCTGTGAGACCGCCCCTCAGCCTGGCGGTTCCTCCCAGTCCTGTGTACAGCGGCAAGTTTTCGCCTGGCAACAGCAACCGCAGCGATCTCGAGGATCCCGACACGCCTACAGAGGCTGACAGCAGCAAGCTGGGTAGCCCCCGGACGTGCATCAACTGCGGCACAACAAAGACGCCCCTTTGGAGGAATGGGCCCGAGGGCTACAAGGTATGGTTTGTAGTCAACTCATCTTCCAAATGGATTTGGCTTGAAGTTGGATGCAGACCTTTGTCGGCTTCTGAGGATCTCATGCTAGTCTTTGAGGATCTGTACGGTTCTGATCCTTAGTTGGTTCTTCTCCATCTTCAAAGGGTCTTTTATGAGGACTTCTTCATCTTTACAGGTTCTCTCATGAGGACTTCAATGCTGTTTGTGATGGTTTTCTGACGGCGCCTCAGGATCCCTTGTTGGCGGCTCCTTTGCTTGATTCTCCTGTTTCTTGTCAAGTAGTGTCCTTATTTTCCTTCTGCTCATACTGTACTGCAAGTAGGACATATTTCTAACCATTCTGAACCGTTGTCTTATTAGCTTGCGGGGACAGAGGTGCCTCTTATATGAATTAAAGATTGAACTTTGTCAAATGCATTGGGTGATCCCTAGAAGTTGGTCGCATCTTTGAGTTGGACGACACCTGATAGTGATGCCACCCCCTGTCAGCATTTCTTTCCTTTGTTCGTCATTCCTTTCCCATGTCTTGACAAATTTGATCTGTACATACTAGCAGTTTGTCTTGAAGCTTTTGATTTCAGTTCGCTCATTCTTCCTGCTCTCCCTCCTGCAGTCCCTGTGCAACGCATGCGGCATCCGTCTGAAGAAGCTCAGCAAGAAGGGGACGCCCTCCGCTGGCCGGTCTGCCGCCCCCGCAACGCCAAGCCCGAAGCCTGCGACCAAGAAGCGCTCCTCCCCACTGCAAAGAGGGGGAAGCAGCGACATGACCGACGATATCGCTACCTTTTCAGCAAAGAGGCTAAAGGTCGCCGTTGGGCCGATCAAGAAGAGGTGGGTGTTGGAAGAGGAGGTGACGAGCAGCCTGCATAGCTTTCGAGGAGCGCTTCCACGGTGGGGGGTAAAAGGTGGGGCGAAAGTGGAGGGGTATGAGGATGAGGAGATTGGGGACGGGGATCTGGCTGTGGAGCATGGAGCGCAGTTGCTGATGATGCTTGCCTATGGATTCGCCAGGTGAAGGGCCCGATTGAAAGGCGAAATAAGGAATAAGATGGTCGTTGCAAATAACGATGAAAGAGCGCATGGTATTCATGGTACATCCCAAGAGACGCAGCGCTTAAAGACATTTTTGTAATTAGAAAGACGTTTTGAACTTAGCGGCGACGAGCTGGCCATGGGCATGGCCGGCGACATTGACATTGACGCCGCAAGCAAACGAGGCACTGAGCTTGTATTCTACATAGGCTATAGGGACAGGGGGAGTGGTTAACATGGAGGATCCGCCTCGCTGGTCAAGTATGAGGTTAGCGAGGGTGTTAGTTTTAGACGGCAGATTATAGATTGTAGTAGCTAGTTATGTAGCAAGTCTATTAACCCATCGAGTGACATGTGCACAAAAAACTGAAATGCCTATTAGCTGAGAGCGCGCCCAATTCAAGGGGCATCCGCGTGATGTAAGGACGGATGGTCCATATAGATTATAGTTTAGTTCTAGTGCCTTCCTAAGGTCAGTCTGTCTGGCCGGTCATTTACCGTCTTAGTGTACTGGTTCGGAAGCTAACAAATGAAGCCCTGGCACTTGGAAGACGGTTGGGATGCTTCAACAAGATATATGTTGATCGCGAGTCGAAGTTACTGAACAGATATGAGTTCTGCGAGTCATCCCATGGAGTTCTGCATTTGATTGGAAGGTTGCATCTCTTTCAATATTACCTAATCAAATATGCACGGCGGCCAGCTGACTCGAATGAATGGTAAGCGTTGCATTGGTTGACAATGCCAATCGAATGTGTCCGAAGGATGCATGCCGTGCCATATGTAGCAGTGAGTCGGTAAGTTTGGGTTGCAACTAAGTTTGCGACAAGACCACATCGACGAAATTGAGTGAGACTGCTGTTTGTAGCGATGGCGGCGGAAGTTGGAAGGCTCTGGTTGCGATGCACGATGTTATATGATACACAATCCGACCGGACCGTTTCAAGTTGAATTACAAGCATGCACCGTCGGATTCAGATGGTAATCTCTCAGATCATGGCCGTCCGATACTATTGTCAAATTTGTATAATATCAAGGTACTCATATATCCTATGAGCTCCTCCAGACCGTCCCTAACTCAAAAGAGACAGCTAGTGCAGTGCAGCAGAGCTACCACTATAGCAAATCGATCGCGAGCTAGGCCCGCCGCAGACGTATAGGTCTCTAAAATTTTCTAGAGCTAGGCAACTAGTCGATACTTTTCCTTATTTACAGCTGTTCAATCACTCGTTATTATGCCGCATGCTGCGTGGTGTCCAGGACCGTCCTTACGGTCCGAGTCTCCGTCAGAGCGGAGGTGTTCTATTTGCAATGATGCCGGAAGCGAAGAGTCAATCGGTTGATCGAGCTTAGTAGCGCGGGCACGATCAGCGCAGCCACCCGATATATCACATTGGTATTGGTCATGCCTGCATGCGCTTGCAACTCGGTTTGCAGGTGGCATGCAGTATGCAATATTTGCAAAACTAATTGAGTCAGTCATGCATGTGGTACACATTCAACTCTATTGTTCGTTTGAACTTTTAGAGTTCCGCCGTGCACGCATTCCTTCGATTAATTTAATCCGTCCATTGCTGAATCAGGAATCTGAGTGATCAGCGACTGATCACGCGCACCGACTAAGCCAGAATTTGAAGAGCTGCATGAGTTTTAGCGGCATGATGTCGTATGATTGGCCCCATGCCTTGTGCGAGGCAATATAGTAGAAAGTGTCCATGTTGTAACGGGCTGTAAGAACAGACTCTGTTCTGAATGGTGGTTTGCGATCGGGTGCCTTGAATTTGCCAAACTTCCGAGGTTCTAAAAGTTCGCGGCTATACTCGAGATTGTGCTGGTACTACAGAGTCAACCTGAGACTTTTGGATAAGTTGATGGTCAAAATGGCGAACCTGCAAGTGATTCCACCTTGTTGTGAGTGAGTAGCGTTTTATCAGAAAGCTATTGAAGCTTAGATTGACTGTAAATTATAGATTCGTCTAGAATGAGAAGCGGTCGGAAGATTGTCACGATGTAT